GTAGGCCCGCTTTGTCCCCGAGACAAGAACTGTGTCAAACTCAGAATCTCTCTGCTTCCTCCTTCAAAGTTTGGGAAACCATTTAGACTAGTGGATGCATCAGGCATGCTCATGAAGAAATGTTGTTGAGCATGTGCATGAGGGGTCGACCCGATAACCCGAGGCAACACTGGGGCTCCTCTCGAGTCCATCATGTACGGGATAGAGTTTCCAGGTACATACAATGGCGATGATAATGTCAAACCAGGAGGTGCAGTTTGTCCGTTGTAGCCAAAGGTAGGGGAGGGCGAATGGGAGAAACCGGGAGCTAAACCCAGAGAGTTTCCGGTTCTTGCTATGTCTAGGTCAAGTTTCGGGTCGATGGATTTTCCTTTGGGAAAGAATGAAAGAGAATCTTTTCTGCTGACTTCCACTTTGGCACCCAAGATGGAAATGACCGGTTCATGGGGGATTGTACTACGTGGATGTTGCCCATAGTAAGGTCCCTGATACGAAGAATCAGTGAGAAACTGCGGTCCGTCGTTCAAATCAAAGTTCAATTTCTTGGCTGATTGTTGGGATGATGAGCAGGAGGCAGGAGATACGCTCTGGTGGCCATTACGATTTAGAAACAGCCTTGTCTCCATCCTCAGTTCTGAACGTGTGGGAGCGTCATATTCCTCGTTTCTGCAATTCAAATCCAGGTTGAACCTGCCTGATTCTGAGGGCTTTACTTCCACCAGAGTCTCTGTAGACCTAGCATTTGTTGAGAAAGGAAACTGTCTCCAAGGGGTTGAGTCTTCAACCTTATCATCTTCTCCCTCGGCCACATTCAGATCAATACCAAGACAAACATGCTTCTCTCTTAAATCCCCACCAGAAAGTTTATGAGGTGATGCTGGGCGAAATGCACTGGTAGCGGCAGATCCTTTCCAGCAAACAGTTCTTTCCAGTTGTGATACCATTGCTGGCGGAACCCCGGGAGCAGCTACGGGACGTGAGACAGTCACTACAGGAGCAAGGGTTGACATAGAGGCCACAGCAACATCTGTTTCATCAGGAACGATTTCTTCATTGAGATCAAATTCACAAGGCTTTCTCTCTGTGCTGAATTGGCGAGGCTCAATTTTATTGCCACTCATGCCATTTTCAGGTATATCATCTTCCAGATCCATCAAGTGGTTCTTCCCACCTTGAAGTGCTTGAGCAGAATGTTTTTCAAAAACTGGTGCTTCCTTCGAATGGGACACCGTGCCTAGCATGTCTTGGTCATCGTTTATGGAATTTGATGAATCAGATTGTGTTCTTTCATCTGACAGCTCTTCCGGTCGACAGTT